CGCGGGGCCCGCGGCCCGCGCCGCGGCCGGGCGGGGGCCCGCCCGCGCCGCCGGCGAAGCCGCCACCCTCAAAGTGGGCGTTGGCATGACCGCGGCCGCCGCGGCCACGGCCGCCGGCGGCCCAGCCGGGGAAGGCGCCCCCCTCAAACGCAACCGCCCAGTGCTCATCAGCCGCAGCGTGCCGGCCCCTGGCCCTGCCCCGGCCCCTCCCCCTGCTGTCCTGTGCCGCCGCGTGGGCCCCCCAAAAGGGGTCCCAAAACTCATCGCCCGCTAATGCTGGCAACCCCTCGCGGCCGCGGCCGCGGCCCCGGCCCCGGCCCGCCGCTGCATGGAAGCTGTCTGCAGCGCCGCCAAGCCCTGCTAATGCGTGCGTCGCCGCGTCCTGCGCGCGGCCCCGTCCCCTGCCCCTGCCCCTGCCGCCGCTGTCGCCCTCCAATCGGCTCGCGTCTGCCGCGGCGGCTGGCTCTGCAGCTTGCGCGGCCGTGGCGCCGCCGCCCTCACCAGCCCTCTCGGGACCCACGGTGCCGCCGCCGTCGCCGCTCGCTACTGCAGCTGCGTCCCGACCCCGGCCCCGCCCCCGCCCGGTGGCTTCCCTGCCGCCGCGGCCCCGCCCTCGGCCCCTGCTGTTAGCGGCATGGACGCCGTCGCCCGCCCCATTTACGGTCACTCCGTGCTCCCTGCACGGATTGCCGCCCTGCACACCGTTCGCACCGCCTGCATGGCCGTGCCCCCAATCCGCCTCCGCCGCGCCCCGGCCCAAAGCGCGCCCGCGGCCGCGGCCGCGCCCCCGGCCCCTGCCTGCGTCGAGCAGGAGGTCGAAATGCTGCGCCGCGGCACGCCCGCGCCCGCCGCCCCTGCCGGCGCCGTGGTTGGCAACGGGCGGGTGTGCGGCCTCCCCTGGGGACTGGAGGGCGAGCGGCATCGCGAAGCGCATCGCCTCGCCACCGCCGTCGCGCCCCGTGCCGCTCACAATGCTGTGCGCATGCGCAGCTGCTGAGGGGCCACCACCGCCGCCGCTGCTGCTCCCTGCGCCGGCTGCAGCGGCTGCGCCGTCGCTGCCCGTCGATGTTTGGCGTATCACGCCGTCCAGGGCCTGCCTAATGCCGCGCAGCGCAAACAGGCGCCGGCCGTCTGCCTGGCTGAGCGGCTGCGCGTTGGCCGCGCCGGGCGCCGCCGTGGCCTCGTGGTGGGAGGCGGACGCGTGGGACGAGGCTGAGGGGCCCCGCGCGTCAGCGGCGGCAGCTCCCCCGTGAATGCCTGCCGGGAAGCCGCCGGCGTGGCCGCGCCCCAGCGCGCTTCCCCTGCCTCTGCCTCTGCCCGATGGGCGATCGGGCCCCCCTCCCTGGAGTAAATCATGCTGTGTGTGGCTAGAGAGGCCCTCTGAGGCCTCCATGGCTCCAAAGCTCCTCCCTACTGTTGTGTTGAGACTCACGACACCGATCTTATGCTGCTTCTATAGGCTTATGAACTAGAAATAAACCTACTCAATTACACCAACGCGTGCGCCACTTCCGCATTTGGCTCAGCCACCGTCTCTGGACTCATTCATCAGGTGTACACATGCCTGCCCACCTTCGGGGCTGTAAGACGCACATCACGGATAATACGGCGTTCTAATTGGATTGCAACCGTCAAATACAGGCAAACTGCCGCTGATCCAGATCGCCCGTGGTGACACGAGTGTGTTTTACAGTCGCAGCACGCTTCGTCGACGTGTCAAGCTAGATGGAGGCGGGAAGTAGCCGAAAATCATCTGCGGCAGCTTCCACCTGCAGCACTCCGGTTGCGCCTTCAGCAGTGGAGGTGCAGCAGCGGCCACAAGAGCAGCAACAGCAGCAGCAGCAACAGCAGCAGCAGCAGCAGCAAGCGCCGCCCGTGTCCGCCACAGCCTCGTCCTCGGGGCCACGCCGCGGCGTCGACAAGCAGCAGGAGTACGTAGAGCAAAAGTATGGGACTGCGGAGAGCCACGTCAACCTGACAAAAGAGCAGGTGGAGGGCATGCTGAACCGTGTGCTGGAGGAGAGCACAACTGTCAAGTACCTGCTTGAATCCCTGAAAATGGTGGGCAGGGTCGAGGGGCCGGATCGCAGGTCTAGTGAGACAGAAGGCACATCTCACCACACCCCAGCAGTAGAGGGCTGTGCCTGATTTTCTTGCGGAATGTATGCCCCATGTTTCAAGGCCAGCGGTCCCAGCTGTCGAGCTCTTGGGAGCAGGGCACTGCACTTGCACCGCACTGCATGTTGACAGTTGCGAACGGGGTGCAGGCGCAGCGGAAGCTGCATGCGCACGCACCACTGCCCCCAGGTTGCGTTTCAAACTTCACAGCAACCCAGCAACCCCTGACGGCCCGCTCGCACCCAGGGCGGCTGCGGCGTGGGGCGGCCCTTCTTTCACGTCACGGCATGCGACGCGCAAGTGGGCGGCGGCTTCTCCACGGACTACGGGGTGAGAGGCGCCCGCGCGCCGCCCGCCACACCCTGCTTGCGCAGCGGCGGCCGCAACACCGCACCCCGCCCGGCCCCCAGCCCAGCCGCCGGCCCGATTCACACCCGCAGCCTCGCTTGCTGCCTTTCACAGGTGATCCTGTGCCACAACCGGCTGCAGCACTACCGGGAGGTCGAGCTGGCTGTGGCCCACGAGCTCATTCACGCCTACGACTTCTGCCGCGCCGCCAACCTGGACCTCACAAACTGCCACCACCACGCGTGCACCGAGGTGCGGGGACAAGGGGGGCGGGCCGCGACGCCGCCTCCCGTGTGATCGCAGGTGTCCGCGTTCCTGGACGTGTCCGCGCATGGCACTTCCGTCCCGTCGCGGCGCGCCGAGACCGGGCTCACTCGCAGAAGCTGAGAAGTCTGTCTGTGCCCGTCGCAACACCTCTCTTGCCCCTGCTCCTCCGACTGCACTCTCGTGTCGGCCGCCCACCCACAACAGATTCGTGCTGCCAACCTCAGCGGGGACTGCTCCATCTACCAGGAGCTGCTGCGCGGCAACGCGCTCTCGGACTCGCTGGTCGGCCAGCACAAGCGCTGCGTGCGGCGGCGCGCGCTGATGAGCGTCGGCATGAACCCCTACTGCCAGGGCGTCAAGGCGGAGCAGGCGGTCGCGGAGATGATGCCGCGGTGCTTCCGGGACACGGACCCCTGGCCCAGGGTGCCGGGGCTGTGACGCGGCGGGGAGGGGGTTGTGGGGGCCTTGTCGGTGTGGTGGCCGACCCCTGCTGTCGGCGCCTCATGCGACTCCTTGTGCTTGGTAAGCACATGAGTTCATTTCCAACGTAGTATTGAAGCGGCCCTCTCGTGAGGGCCGTCAGGTAACAATATGATGTGGCTTAGGGCCATGGCCGGACTGATGGATGGAGCAGTACTCTGAAGCTATACCAGAGCCCCTTGGTATGTGACCCATGTCTCGCGGCTTCTCATAGCGTGCCTCGTCGACGCGCCAACCGCTCACGTACCAGCAATATGACAGGCAGCACAATCACCAAACTGAAGCTGAATCCAGCACGGGGGGCCTTGGATGGGAGTGATCAGGCAAGGTTACTGTGTTGCGCGCTTGCAATAGCGGCAAAGCATGAGTACTGGGCAGGACGAGCTGTGTACCTGTACCTTGGTTGTTGCCAAAGATTCAGGGAATTAGGGTTTGCAAATGGTGTGTTGCGCCACTCGTCAGGGTTGCACAACATGCCGCACGCCGTTTCGCGGCCCTACACCAGCCGTCGCAGCGGTGCCAACGCCTGTGCAGCTCCCGTCGTGACGGCCATCGCGGGGTCTCCAAGGACGCTTCAGCTGTGCGTGCGTAGGTGTTTTGCGTTTTGGAATTGGCACCGTCCCGTAGCTGGACTAGCAGCCCGGTTGATTACACGGGAGCTTCGCTTGCTGCAGATCCTCCAGGCGCATCAGCAGCAGGCTCCGCCACAGTCGCGCCCCCGAGCAATTCGCCGTCCGGCCCACTCTGGTCGCCGGCGCCGCCGCCGCGGCCGCGCTCTCCCCCCTCTCGCCCGGCGCCGCCGCTCCCTCCGAGCAGCTCCTGCACCTCTGCCAGCGCCCTGGCCACCCGCTGCTGGTCCTTGAACAGCACCAGGGGCTGGATGTACTCCCGCATCGCGCGCGCCGCCTCCTTGTCCAGCCGCCCGCTGTCGCCGCAGTTGCCTGCGTGCGTGCGCCCACAGCGGGCAGTGGGTGACACAATTGCTGGGGCAGTCCAAGGCCCGAGGCGCCAGTGCCAGCACGCGTGATCCAAAGGAGGGGCCGGCCGCCGACGCCGCCGGGCTCGCTCACTGTCCTCAGCGGCGCGGCTCCCCAGCTCAACGCCAGCCTGAGCAGGCTTGCAGGCACTTCTTTTAGTGTTTGTCAACAGCCCCAAAGCGTCCCCAGGGTCTGCACCCACTAGCAAAACACTGCAATCCGCCCCCAGATCTGCCCCTACCCTGGTGCTCTGGCTTCTCAATTTCCCCTAGGATGAGCCGCAGCACGTCCTCCTCTGGCGCAGAGTTGTCGACCCACAGGAAGGCTCCGTCGTCGCGGAACCAGGTGTGCTGGTTCTTCACCAGCTTGCGCGTGGCCGCGCCGATCTTCATGATCATCTGCGAGAGCTGCTCCTGGGTCGCCGCCCCGCCCTGCTGCTGCGCCTCCTGTGCGGGAGGAGGGGCGCCGCGGACGCGCGGGCGTCGCAGAAGAGTCTTGCAAGACAGCAGCGATGCTGTTGGTAGCGGTCTCAAGGACTCAAGATCCAAGACACATGCGGCGGCGAAACGGGCGCCTGATAAGGTTGACGGTGGGGTGGGTGCAAGCTGACAGCCACCACACTCGCTGCCTACCAAATCCTCATCCGCCACGATACTAAATGCACACCGTCGTGCCGAACGCCCCGGTCCGAGCCGTGCCGCGCTCGTGCAAGCCGCTCTGCTGCGACCCCGGGCATCCCACCTGCATGAACTCGAGCGCCTGGCGGTAACCGATCGCGCGCGCGGCGTTGCAGCTGCCGGCTGTGACGCCCAGGCTCATCAGCCACCGCGCCTCACGCAGCAGGCCGCCGGCCACCTGTGGAGCAATGTGTTGGGACAGGTGACTGACTGCGTGGAGGTTTCGGGCAGCGCCAGCAACTGCCAGCAAGCAGTTGCACGTGAGCAGGGCGCTGGATTGTGCTTGGCATGCGAGGTGCTGGCAATCGGGGCGAGCCAGCCAGGGTCGCGTACAGGCTGCCTCTCAATTGTGTGGTCGACTCTCCCCACCACCCGCACTGTCCGCGGCCCAAACCCGGGTGCTTCAGTGATGTAATCCGACCCACCATCTCCTCGACCCTATAGGCGATCTTGTCGTACAGCTGCCGCCGCGGCCGGTGCAAAAAGAAGCACCTGCAAGCGCACACAGGGTTGGCAGCCCAAAGCATGGTTAGGGAGGCTCGGCAGTGGTGGCTGCTGTGCCTGCGCCCAGCAGCTGCCTGTCGACGCCTTTGCGCCATTGCTCTCGGCCGCCCATGTGTGCACGTGCACTCCAGCCGGCCCCCTCAGCAGCCCTGGGGCTTTCCGTGACGTCAAGGCCCCAGCCCCACCTGAAATCATAGTCGAGCTCCTTCTCGGTGTCAACATCCATCTCGCTCATCCGCTTCCCACCGTTCTGCAGCAGGATCTGGCACACCCTCTGCAGCCGGTACCAGTTGTGCCGCTCCGCCCGCACCCGCTCCGCCGCATCAGGGTCCCCCAAGCCCGCCACCACGCCCACAGCTGCGTCCCAGAGCTGCTCTCGAGACAGGTTCGCGGGCGGGTCCGGCGGCATGTTGCGGTCGGCCAGCTGCTCGGGCGTCGGGGGCGCGGCCTCGCGGGCGGCGCGCCGGCGCTCCTTGCACTGGGCCCGCCACTGTCGATGGTGTTCCTTGGTCCCCCACTGCTGCTCGGCCTGCTGCTGCTCCTGCTGCTGCTGCTCCTGCTGCTGCTGCTGCTCCCGCTGCAGCTCGCCAGGCGTTTGCGGGTGCTCGGCTGCGCTCGTGCTTGTGGGGCCGCCAGCCTCGCCAGCGACCCCATCACCTGCGCTGCCGGCGCTGCCGCTGCCGCCCTGCTGGGCTTGCTCCCGCTGCTGCCGCGCCCGCTTGTGCTGCTCCCAGGGGGCGACGGGCTCCCCTTCCTCCTGCTGCGGCCCCAGGGCCGCTGTCAAGGCAGCGGCCTCTGCCGCCTTGGCCCATGCCTGTGAGGCGCGCACGTTGAGGAGTGGGGAGGCGCAGGCCGCGTGTTGGTGGCACAAATCGGCGGTTGACGGCCAAGCATGGATTTGATGTGTTGAGTGACGGTGCGCAGGAGGTGTACTCAGCCGCAGCGGTTGTCGCAAGTGCCGCGAGGTCGCCTGCAGCGCGGCGGCCTCACCTCTTGTATTAGGCTGGCCACCTTCGCTCGCAGCTCTGGACTCGACTGCGGCGTCTGGGCCTTGCCGTACATGAACCACCGCAGGTAGAAGCCGGTCCCGCCCACCACAATGGGCACCTTTCCACGCTGTGCGGGTGGGGGGCGGGGACAGCGGCGAGGGCAGGCGGAGGGCGACAGGGGTGAGCGGCGGCACTCCGGCGGTGAGGCGCTTGAGCCGCACACTTACACGTTCGAGCCTGTGTGTGGGTGTTCAGCTGCCGTCCCAGTGCTCAGGTGCTGCCCGCAGCAGCCATTACCCTGCTGTCCACAACCATCACCCGACACAGCATGACAAGGCTGGTAACCCACCCTGATAATCTCCGCTGTGGCCCTGCGCCCCACTTCGTAGAACTCCCCTGCCGAGAACTCGGCTGTCGGCGGCAGCACATCAATTAGATGGTGCGGTATTCCCTGCCGCTGCGACTCTGGGAGCTGTCCAATCGGCGGTGGCGGGTGGGAGCAGTTGGGAGCGCAATGGGACCCATACATCCGGATCTGCATATTGACATCAGCTATGTAACTTGCCTTATCCGAGCCGATGTCGAGACCCGTGTGGACCTGGACAGAGTCTGCAGAGATCACTTCGCCACCCAGTCGCTTTGCCAGCTCCAGGCCTATCTTGGTCTTGCCTACTGCAGTGGGCCCCGTCACTATAATGACCTTCGGCTTGGCCGTACCGGCAACCACTGTGCGGTCGGCCGTCGCTTCGCAGCCCCTGTGCATGGGCCTCCAGGAAGCTCGGAGGACTTGGCTGCAGGTGTTGGTAATGGGTATGGCCGAGCAGCGCATGCCACCGTCCCGACAGGCCGACTGTGACCGCTGCGTGTGCTGCTGCTGCCCTGGTCGCACACTGGAACAGTCGTACGCAGTGCAGCCTCAGTGAAACTCTGCGTTATTGATTGCTCTGAAGGACGCAACATGTTGCCCACGCACAAAGCAGTGATTTGTTTACACTGCAAGGCGCAGGGGAAGGCAGCCAGGCAACCCTCCAGTCGCAGTCAAACAGGTCTTCGCACAATCGCAACCGTTCGGGGGATGCCGATTGCGCCGAGAGCCATCAACAGTCAGTCCAGGAGTGCAAATGTCAGCACAGGCACGTGTTGGGCCTCGGGCACCACGCGCTGCAGTCAAGTGCGGCAAGGGAAGCAGGCCACCGCAGACCCACAACTGTCGCAGGGAACGGGATCCACCGTTTACAACAGCCTACTAAGGGCGCAAGATGGGGGGGCGCACAAAGCTGTGCCTGCCGTGTGCCACCGGTGCCGTATGCAGCGGGCTCGCATCCCGATATTGTGCCACATATGACGCGCCAACAGCGGCATGCGGCTCTGGTGTCAGTGTCCCCTAACTGCTATTTCGATGTTGCGCGGAGTGACGCGCGGCGGGTCCTGCGACCCGCAACTGCAGGAAATGGGTAGCTCAATCGAAGGTCAGGGCAGGAGTCAAGATGCCCAGATGTGGAAGTTGGGGCGATCCTGATGAATGCAAAGGGCGAATAACGCACCAGACGCCCGCCAACAGCAATGGCCGAGCGTCGCGCGCAGACGTGGGCGTTCAGCTGGCGGTGGTGGCGAATGCAACGACAAAGGGGGCGCGGCCAGCGGGCTCGGGGGACGAGGCTCGCGGGCGCAGCCCGTCAGGCAGATTGTGAAGGGGTGAGTGGTGGGTGAAGAGGGGGGCGGAGCGCGTCGTCCCTACATCCAAGTTGTTGTGTGGCGTCAAACAAAGGGTGGGAACAAAGCTCTGCTGTCAACGAGGAGGCCCTGGCGAGGGTGCCAGGCGCAGAGTGGGTCAAACTTTTGGCCGCCTGCGAGCTGCAGGACAGCTGTCAAGGCGCAAGGCAGCCCTTGCAGGCTTCTAGCGGCCCCGATGAGCGTGCAGCTGCTGCCGCAGGGCTCGAGCCCCGCCATGGTTGCGGCTCAGTGTAAGGATCCAGAAGGAGGTTGGGCGCCCCATGGTCGGGGACGTCAGCCCGGCACAGGCCCATTCGCGCAGAGCACTTAAGGGGGCCCGCGGGCAGTGCAACTGTGAGCAGGTGCGCAGACCGGCACCCTCGGCTGAGGCGGCAGGGCAGGCGCTCGAGACCCGCCGCGGAGCCATGCAGGGAGTGCCAGCAATCCACACGTTAAAACGCGAAAACCAACTGCAAACCCGATGCTTCTATGTCTGGCTCAACGCTGCACCGCCGCCTGGTGCGGTTGTGACGCCAGCGGCCGTCGCTGCGGGGACCGCTGCTGCTGCAGGGGCCGCGACCGCGCTCATCTTTGGCACGCAGCCGCAGCCGCCGCCGACCTTTTCGGTCCCCAGGAAGGCCCACATCTGGTGCGCGTCAGCCGCCAGCGCCAAGGGATCTAGGGGGCAAGACGCGTTAGAGCCCACGCCTGCGCAGTGCAGGGAAACGGCACGAACAGGGTTGGAAGGGGGGCCGCCTCGAGGACGCGCGCATTGCAGGCGCATTGGAGGCGCACGCCTCACGGACGTCGTCGTCAGCAGCTGATGCCTGCGATCCCGCGCCCGGACCGGTCGTCTTTGCGACACCCCGAGCCGCTGTGCCTCGCTGCAACGACAATGTCCAGCGACCGCAAAGGCGAGAGACCCCCTGCTGCCCCACAACCAAGCAGCCAAACTGGTGTTACTATCAAACCCCAAACCCCAATCCAAGCAGCCACTCACTGTTGACCCAGGTGACCAGGTCCTCAAGCGACTCCAGGCGCATCAGCTCCCGCCGCCGCGCGCTGAACAGCGCCGCCACCGCAAACGCCTTGAGCGGCGCGCGTGCCGCCGCCTCCGCCGCCCACAGCGCCTCCCAGAACGTGAAGGTGTCCGCCCAGCTGAGCTCGCGACGGAACGCCAGCAGCAGCATCTGGAAGGCCGTCTCGAGGTTGGCGGCGCCGAGGGCGTCCAGGTGGCGCAGCAGGGGGCCCTCCAGGGCGGCGAGCGCTGCGCGGAGCTGCCTGAGCTGGCCGGATATGGCGGCGAGGCCGTCCTGAAAGTTTGGGGCGAGGGGGCGCATCATGGCGCGGTACGCGGCGAAAGCCTGTGGGAGGGCG